ACAATGTTTCTCCCGTGTTAATATACAAGACAAACCCCCTTTCTTGTGCTAATGTACATACCCCCTGCGGTTTCCCCTCACAACTACCGTCCATAAAATTCAGGGTTGCACACTAGACAAAGTGGCAATAGATTGTTCTGATCGTTTCTTCGATACGGGACAAATGTACACAGCATTGACACGAGTCAGACACATCAGCAATCTCTATTTGTTACACTTTGATCGTACCACATTCCCCAAAACAATCATATTGAGGTCATACTACCATAATCTTCTAGCCACTATTGATGATTATGATCAACTAAACGCAGAGGCCACTTTCACAAGATTGTATCCTGTCTGGCAACAAAACAATCCCCCTGTTGATGATGCAATCGAAAACAATGAACCCCCAGTTGAAACAACACCGCACGATGATATCACCAATGAAATTGATGCTCTATTACAACATATCGAATGAATCTCGTCCTTTCCATTATAGGGCAATCTACCATGGGTGTTTGCGGAGAAGTTATATGAAAAACTCAAGGCGCGGGCTGACATCAGAGGCAGTCGCCTCGTCAAGACCATTGATTCCGTCCCCGGCCGTGTCCGTGGTCTTATGAATCATGCGGGAATGGACCCGGACCATTTCGAGTACTTCCCGCGCAACATCGCCGAAATGTTGTACAAGAAGTACATGCCTTGGCTTATTCAATACAAGCAAGACCATCCCAACACCCAGAGCGGCCCGATCTCAGGCTACCAAAAGAGGTTGATGAAGCGCCTTGGTCGTGACATGGCCAACCTCGATCCAATGGCCACTTACGAAGTTGGCCACGAGTGGATTGACAAGCATAATGGGCGCGCTGCCAAGCCTAATACGGACACGTCGGATGCCGCAATTGACGAGCTGGTTGACCTTGCCAATGAGGATGATGACATGCCCGAGGATTAGATTATTATGCTATAAGCAAGGATCTATTTCTACTAAACATTGGAGTTATTGACTCGTTGGAGGACCACATTGTTTGGATATGATTATCACGTTGTTTGTTACATTCTAGTTGGGGTTGTGCTTTGTTGGCATATGATGTTGTTTAGTGATACAATTTGCATCATTGCCATGAGTATCGACGTCCCAAATTTTTTGTTTATTACAGGATTGGGTGTCTGCTTCCATGTTGCCTATTTGGCGCACCCATATCCTCCCAGTATTGGCCGCTGATACCCCAATCTCGGGGTTCAACAACATATCGGCCGATATTGCAAATCTTCAGTGCACGGCCAAGCCATTCAGCTCGCATGAGTTTGCATGTGATACCTGGCAAGCTTTGGGAGCCAATGCCGAGATCTACCTTTCAGACCAAGCCCGGGCAATGCTGAACACTGTTCCCAAGGACGTCCGCTACAGAACGGCCATTACCATCAAAAGACAAAATGAACAAAACCAGAGAATGACCCAGAAAATGGCGAGAAATGTATACCAGCTCACGCCCAAGGACCTGGCTTATGCCCCCCACACGACACGTATCGATCGCCATCGAAGGGGGTACCTAATCCGGACCTATGGCTACACGCTCGAGACAATCCTCCGAGTCGTCCACCGCAAATATGTGGACTACGATGCATTTGTCCGAGCTGAACAGCGCAATGCAGCTATTGCCAACAAACGCAAGGCGACGGTGGCGAAAAATATTGCACGGCGGTTGCATCAGCGCAATGTGGCGTTTGCAACATCAGACATCCATTGCGATGGATGTGCCATCTGTTGTGCATACGTTAACAAGGAGCGCATTACTCTGGAGAAAGCGCTACAATACCATCAACAAGTCCAGGCCATCGACGTCGCCAATATGGACCCCGATGTCGCACAACAACTGATGATTACTATCGCAAGTGCCTTGCGTGGCGCATGTCGTGTGCTTGGCTGCCCCGGACGCCCTGTCAAGAGATGTAAGAATGGAATGTGTACCTCTTGTTGCCGTCAGCGGACCGTGACTACGGTGCCCTATGTTCGATGTCGTGAGCATTAGCACGACGCTGAAGACGAGTGACTTGCTTTCTTAGACGCTGATCGGACTTTGAGTATGACGGGATCAATTCTGCCTAGGTTTTTTGGAACTACAATTGGTGATTATATTACGATGATGGGACATTTTAACAATTTTGGAACAATGTTGTCCTTTGTTAATCTCAAATGCATTGGCAATCACCGCCGTGTGAAACCATACAACTAGTGTGCATAATTTGGCCATATGCAAGGCTTGATATCCGTGCGCTCTGTGTATGCTCAATCCTATAATTAACCCAACTGGAACAACCATCTTGCGGTATTTGGAAGACACACTCGTGCGTTGATTGGCAACGTGCCAATGACAATTTTCCTTTCCCGTTTTTTTCCCTGTACACCGAACCGTTGGAACGAGTGCGCACGAAACAATGACCAAGATACCCTAGGCAAGAAGCTATGTCTCAACAGCACATGCTCATGAGGCACAAGGTCGGGCAGCCCAACCGCTTGCTGGCAGTGCCTTGGCTGCCTAGCGATTGACCGCAGTTTGACCGCTGATTGACCGGCACCACAGTAGGCAATCGGTCCACGACACAAGTAAGCGCCCAAGAACGATCGAGCAAGAGGGTGGCTGCAAGGAGTTGTTCATGCTGGGATGGCCATGGGCAAGATACAAGGCGGGGCAGCCCAAGCGCTGGCTACCGGCGCCTTGGCTGCGATTGACCGCAGGTTAACCGCCGATTGACCGCTACCAGACCACGTGATCTCGGCGGCCAGGCTGGTTGTGGTCGTCGCCACTGGGGACAAAAGAGGCACTGAAGGCTGTCCACAAACACAACATGGTGCATCTCATACACTCGCTCGTGGCACCCATGCGCCCTCAACAAACATGGGCGTGGAGCTTCCTAGGCCACCGGTTATGCCACTCATGGCCAGCTAGTTTGGCAGTCGAAGGGAAGGTGCTATAGCAAGCAAGCACCACAATTTCGTAGGGGTCAATGCTTGCCGGTGCTTTGGCATAACAAAACGATTGAATTGGGTGGGTCAGGAGTAGGGGGCAAAGCGTTAAGAATAGTGTCATCACCGCCTCCGCCTGGCGGCAAGCAACGGTAGAGTCCCGGTCAAGGCTGCGGCGTTGAGCAAAAAGGAAATGGCAACAACAAGACGCCCAGCTAGAGCAGCAGCTACCAAATAGGATTTGGTAGTGCGAACATTGACGCCTAGTCACCAAAGGGGGGGTGCGATCCGCGCCGATTGTTGTTGACAACAACACTCTTGAGAGGGCTGGCCCTGCCAATTCATCACGCTGGCCATGAGGAACAAAGGCTGGCCACCTTGCCCTTACACTACAACATCTAGCTGGCACTCTTCCAGTAGCTTGCGAAGTCAACAAACATCCTGCCTCGCTACATCCTTAAGTGGGCGCTTATTTAGTGGGCTACTTCGCAGGTGTTGTGGTACCTACTGAAAAACCGCACCTTTTTATTTTTCACTTATTCATGCAAGGCCGCAATGTTTGCATGCCGTTGTGCCTTCGCCACCCACACCTACCCCAACTCTCGCGCCTCGCATCGCCACGCATTTTCTGTCGTGCCGATATACCGAGAGGCCTGGAGGGGCACACACAACTGGCAGGGATGGCCAAATTCCCGGGGGGTTGACATATTGGCGCCTATCGCCATTGAGGCTGCAATCCACACCACACCTCTTCCTGCCATTCCGCACCCCCACACAGGTAGCGTAGGTGGCTACATCCGAAGTGGGTGGGAATAGTGGCATCTATTGCCATTGAGGCAAGATATCTGCATTTCACAACAAACCGCTCTTTTCCAATCCACGCCCACGAGGGGCCACTTGGACGACTCCTGCCGATTCTGGCCTGTTGAAGGAACGCCTCATCATGCGCAGAATGACGGGCGATTCCCCTCCGGAGTCAGCCAGAGAAGTGGCGACCGCAAATCGCCCCCCTTCGGCCTTCGTTCGCAGCCGCACTCGCTGCCGGAACCCGCAGTACCTCCGCCTTGCAGCAGTCCCGTCCACGGTTCGCGATTCCTTCGACGCACCACGTAATGCGCCATCCCTTTTTGCCTCCCGTCGCTCCCCGTCAGCCCACGTCGTGCCAACGCCCTCGCCGGCGCACGGGGTCCTCCGCCCGCGATTGCACAGCCCTCACGGGGGGTGTCGACCCTTCACCGCGCGCCTTAGTAAGGCGCCGGCGTTTGGAGATGCCCCACGTTCGGGGCCCGCGTCCGCACGCTTGCTAGTAGCTATCCCCTGCCGCGCAGCCTCGTGGAAGCCACGCCTTGGGCGTCGGGGGCCTGCGATTTGCCAGGCGGTTTGGAACGCGGCCTTGCGGCACCCGGAGCACGGAACCCATCGCCAACAAGGATCTGTTACAATGTCGCCATGTCCAACTTTTGTACGCCAAACCACATATCGTACATTCCAATCAATCGTTTCACACATTCCAGCTGTCAGTCCACTCGTGATTCAACCCGACAGCCGCACTTCCATCGCATAATCCAATGTGCTTGTCAAGCACAACAGCTGTCACTACTCTTGATTCAACCCACAGTTGTCCTTCCGCCAGATCATCCAACGCCATTGCCAATGACAGCTGGCCGACCCGACAATCCTTCAGCCATCAAATCAACTCTTGGACGAAGCGCACATAGCAGAAATGAAGTATGAACAAAGCATAGATGAAATCGACCGCGATTCATTATGCTATACTTCAACAGGCCTCCTTCCATAATTTAGATGCCATTTTCATGACGGAACGTTGGGCGAACGGATTGGATGGGCTTGGTGGCCTTGGCCATCCAAGCTATTAATTGGAAATCCTTAACAAACAGAATTTCCAGTCGCATTAAGCCATTCTCTACTTTTCCCAGGCCGTTGCAACCCACAAAAAATTAAAAACACATGACACACACATCCTCTCAAACAAACTCAGATCTGCTACAGAAATGACTTTATAAACTCCAAACCATTGCAGCTTCCTCACCTCACATGCCAATCCTCTTTATGGGATGCATTATTGAGTGGATCCAATCCCTCCATATGCCATTCAATCCCACGATGGACAGCTCCAGCGTCTCCAACTCTGAATTCAATATGTTGTGCACACCTGCAGCACAGGAATAGACTTACACAACTACAAAACATTTTCTTTGATCTCCAATCTCTCTTTCTCAATGCTTTTGTCTAATCGAATTCATAATTACGAACCCAACTCTGATTCACAAATTCTAATCATGATTTTTCTTTGCTGTGTGACAGTCCCACCCCATCTTGACGTGGCCCAACACGGTTCCTGTTGGGATCCACAACACCCGTCCAAGCCACCCGCCCAACAACACCCCCATTCCCACCCCCTCCGTTCCCACTCCTAGACCCTTCTCCATGGGTCCGGCTTGGGTGAAGGTTACAATTGAATTCAACGACGGAACGACAGCTGTCTACACAAACACCCCTGGCAGTGGCTTGAAAATCGATTAGATCTACACTGGCTTTTGGAGGCCGCCTATGAGACAACACCGCCTTCATTCGCTTATCGGGACAGCATTCCTCTACACCAACAAAAACTTTTGTAGCGCAGGCAAAAGTACACGTGGACATACTGCCCTGGAATATATGAATTGCTTGCAAACTATATGTTGCACATTTGTTCTTGCATGCCGGGTTTTAACTCAGACAGCCATTGGTGAAGCGGCAGCACTGTCTTCTCTCAGATCCATTCCTGCGGGTGCCGTTGTAGCCCAAGTCCTTGTTTTCCAACATTGACTACATTAATCGCTCAAGAGGGAGAAAGTTCCCAAACAAGTGGATGCCCAATAACAAGAAGAAGACTTTTCTTGCAAAAACGGGCCAGTCCAAGCCCAACGCTCCCCTCTCCGTCATGGCATGTTTTTGCGCTTTTGGCAACGTTGCCTGCTCAGTGCAAACAAAGTCTGTACACTTCGCAACGCAAGTTGGAATCCAGCCACGCACAGCAGCACCTTCCCCCTACCGCATCTTTCCCTATATAAAAAATGTACACCATGCATGCTAGAGCTTGTTGTGAACAAAACAGCCACAGGTGGAGCTACTCCACCAACGTTTTGCCCAAGCGTGCCGTGATCGCGCAGGCAACAGCCTCACACAACTCAGAATTCTGCAGAATCATGCAATTGTCAGCAGGCTGTGCTGCACTTGTGATTTGCAAAAATTTTCTGTGCATCCCCAGAAATCTATGGAAGCCTCAGTGGTCTCACGTTAAGAACACCCCTTGTGATCATATCATTTCCGCCCCTAAGCTGCTGGGGTTCTAGGGGAGTTCCTTCAGAAGGTGTGGGGTCAGCTTCGTGTTATCATCTTTCAGTTTCTCCTGTGCAGTTGTTCACGTTTGGATTTTTGGTCAGCTGAGGTATAGACGATGTCGACATCTGGTATCCCATACAGAACAATGCAGAGGTGGTGGACTGCAAAATTGGACAATATTGTTACAATCGTTGCGGGGACATGAAAGCCCAAAGATGCAACGCTGGGGCAACCACCAGTAAAAAAAATTATATCATTGGCAACCAGGCAGCAGCAAGTGCATTTTAGTTACTTCCAAGGCAACAAAGAGACAGACAGCGCCTCTTGCTCCTGGATGCTGCCCCATTACATTTCCAGATACACACCATGGAAAAAACTACACCTGTGATACCCAATCGCCACCCTGCAACGATCAGCTGATGAACAACACTCAGTTATTCAATTCGACCAGGCCACAGTTTCACTGCAACATTTGCACTTCGCCACACCAGATATAATCGATTGGTAGACTGCACTGAGACACTTTGTGCACTCTTGGGAACCAACGTTGCCATCAGGCCCTTCAAAACAATCCACGATATGACCAGAATAGTGTTCAGAACAGTGCGTTCTTCATATCACCAATGTACAACAAGCCCCTAGCACCAATCGCCACAAATTAAGAATGTCAATTTCCAGGCCACAGTGACGCACCGGTCAGGATTTCCGCCTTGCATGACGAATTCCATCAGCTCCTCGTGCTTTTCATCAGATATGTGAAACGCCCTCCGCAGCTCTCCCAAAACCATCTCCTTGTTCTGCGTTCAACAAGGTGTCAAGCACACAACTGAGTAGCAAGTCAAGAGTGCAAACTCGTTTTTTCGCCAAGACTGCCGTGTGCTGCGCCTTTTGTAGAGCAACACTGCAAGGGACAGGCTGCAAGGGAGAAATGGACGCCATTCGATACAAATGAACACTAAATGAGCAGCAAACCCGCAATCCGACAGCAAAATGGAAAGCATTGAGATTCTGGAGCGCGGCTGCGCCTGTCTCGCGGTGCATTAGAACAGGTACATTGATGTCAACCTGAGTTCGTGCTCTGTCGCCATGGCTGCACCCACAACTGGCTGTCAACGACCCACGCCGCGTTCACCACTGTGCTGCTGGAATGTCGAAAGGATGTTTGCTCCAAAATTCGGCAAGATTGAGGAAGACAAGCGCCTGGGCTGGCAGGGGATCCTCATCCTGTCAGCATCCGTCGTCGCTGATACTGTTGCGTTCAGAACCCGTACGCAAGAATCTCCGGGCTTGCGTGCATCCTGCGCAGCCTGTTGCCAAACACCTCGCGCGCGTGGTCACACAGGTAGGCGATCGTGCTGGGACTGCAGTGCCCAGGCGATCAGCAACAGCCGCCACTCCTGGGCATCCATCTGCTGCGCACTTCTCGTCAGCTTGAAGTCCAGCTCCTGCAGCAGGGTCTCGTACGCCAGGCCGATGAAGTTCGTGGGTGGGCCCAGGCCAGGGTCCTGGCTGGTGTCGATGCCCACATTTCAACAACTTTTTGTCCATCTCTTGTGACGCATCAATACAGTGGCCTGCTATATTCAAAAAAAAAAGGAGAGAACGGGTGGTGGCTGGGGCGGGGGCCGCGAGAGCCCCCTTGTAATTGGTGGCGCCAGTACTTGGGCGCCGGGGAGCGTCCCACGCGACAGGTCGCGTCATGGGCTTGCGCGCGTCGAGCGGCTGACTTGCGAGCGCCGACAGAAACCTGTCGCAACACGCGACGGCTTTCGAGGAGTCGTGGGCGGCTGGCGGCGCAGTCTCGTTTCCTAAAAATGTGGGGTTGTGAGGCGTTTTGGTTTTGTGGATTAGGGCACAGTAGCAAGCAAAGACACTCTGGTGGCAGCGGAAGGAATGCAGCCTATCTAGATGTGGTAAGTTTCTTGTGGAACGAGCTGGTAGGGCACAGTGACGACTTGGGGGCGATTTCCCGCTCTGGCGCATCAGGACGCAATATTCTTGCCAGAAACACATGTTCCGGTGGAAACGTCAACACACAGTGCATTAACGTTTGAAATTGGCGTAGGCGCTTTACTTCGAGACTCGGAATGGCCGGAGTGGCAAGCCAGCCTATTGGTGTTGTGCGCTGTGCCGTACAAAGTGACATGGTACTCGTGTTGATTTCCAGCCAGTCCGAGCATTGCTGGAGTATTATACCCCCTGTTCTCCGAGGCAGAGTTGGGCCCAAATTCTTTCGGCAAGAGCAGGAACCTTCTTTTTGGTTGCCGTTGCATTCACGTTCTTTAACTAGGAACGGAAGTGCTTGAATACTGTTTGGGCCCCTGGACCCAAGAACGGGAATGGATGTCGTTCTGTTCCCATTCTTTGTCAGCTTCTGTCCTAGGTCGGCCCATCTCTGCTTCAGGGGAGCTGCGGCGGATGCTTAGCAAGTGTTGTTACTTGTGACCCCTTCACCGATTCGCGCATCTCACTGGTGAATGCCGCTGGGGCTGACAGTCCAGTGAGTACCTCCTAATCTGCAGCTGACGGTGGCCTCCTTGCACCGATGTGTAATTTATGTTGAAGAGAATCGAGGGCTAGCAACGTCGCGCCGACGCAGCACGGCCGTCGTTTATTCCGAGAGCGGGATTGGCCAAAACTCAATAACTATAAGGAATTCTCAAGCTCTATTTGTTTTGCATTGCTTACAGCACCGCACGATGCCTTCTGGTCGACTTTCCATAGGAAACGAAGCAATAATTTAAATTCAGAGATGAAACTCACAGTTATCTATCGAAATTGTATGGAAAACGAAGGTGCAAAAGCTGTATATCGAAGCATAGTCACATGCGTTTCATCTTCATGGAACCCGCAACTTTATATGGCATACGGATCAAGGGCTATTTGAGCCGCTCTCAAGTGGGTGCGCTAGGTACTTCATTTCTTGCGGATTGGCTTGAAACAAACAGAGCTCTACATGCGAAATTTGCGCGCCAATATCGTTGCAAATGTTCTGTGGCCGGGTACTTTCCTCCCAAGGCAAACCAACGCCGCAGCACCTGCTGCCGATGCCTTATCTCATTGGACATTAGTCGGCCGAGTTTCAAAATTCCAGATCGACTGTCAGAAAGGGATATGGATATGCGCCAAACGCAAGTGAGTCGATTTGATTCTCCATTATTGCTTGTGTGCAAGCCAATTCACTCAAATTAGCTAGTGAGAACAATGAAGGGAACGGAACCACGTTCCGTGGGTGAGCAAACCTCTTCCCCTAGTAAACCCCAATTGGAAACGTAGCAAAGGCCCAAGCAAAGCGTAGCAACTACGACCTCCTGCGCAAAATTCCGAGTAGAAACAGTGTTTGCACATCTTGCTTGCCTGTTTTGCGCCTTCCAATACTGTTGCCACGCCATCAGGGCTCTCTTTGACGCCCTCTCAGATCCAGGCAAACAAGGAGACCCCACTGCCAGCCCCAAGTTACAGAGCCACTCAAGAGCAAAACGATATGGAGGTGCCTACACAACTTCACTCTGGCCGAATGTCCTCCAAGACCTAAGTGCATGCGCACGACTCCCAGTCATGCGCCGAAGGCCTCAAACAATCTTCTTGCCCGGTCTTTGAGTGAAAGAACGTCTGGACTGTGCGTTCTGTCAAGTGAGCTTCCTGGATAGTCCCTGCTATTCGCCACAGGCTCAGCCTTCGTGTCCTTTACAAAGCTTGTGGGAGACTCGCTTCCGGAATGGACGCCCTGGGGACCGGCCATCAACGAACGCCTCAAGCCATTGAGTCACCAAAAGCTTGCAGCGCATTTCGGACGTCAGCACATCAGATTCGGAATTTTTGACGATCAGGCTGCCCTGAGGGTTCGCGCTATGCCATTTTTGTGGCGCTTCATGTCAACTGGGCAGAGCTTCCCCACACCCCACCCACCCACCCACCGATCACCCACGACGTCTACCATTCTGTTGATGCCAATCTGCAATTTCCAACAGCACGCGGCAAGAGTGCGGTAAATCAGGGGGGGATAGAGGGCCCTCGAGGCGCACCTCCACCCAGCCCACCCACCCACCCATCCGTCCGCACTATTCGACACTCCCCGCACTATACTCCGTGATCTCAGGTATTTGAAAGCGCGACACGGCATCTCAGTAAAATGCGAATTGGCCAGTATTTGGGTCAGATTCACAAGTTTAAGCGCTTGCTTTCGCGGCGGCGCCGCTGAACTTGATTCACCAGATGAGCGACTTTACTGCAGTGAGGCGATATGTGCATGAAAATTGTATACAATGCAGTGTTGGTGAAGCAAATTGCAGTAAATAAATGCCTCGCTTGAATGTCAAACGAGAGCCAAGCTTAGCAATTTTTTATGGAAATTGGTGACGATTTTAACGGTTTAGATGTTACCACCGGACGCATCGGAACACGAAAGAGCAAGTGTTTTGCGTCCATTTTTGCACCTGGCACCGAAGCATTGCACTGAATATCCCAGACATTTTCGGGAGTGACGGCAGTGCAATAAAACACACCTCAAACTCGATTTCACGCTCTCGCGACGAGTTCAGGGGATTGTTTCAAACTGCGAGCGATGGTTCAGCGTCTCCTGCCAATAACACCCTCCATTCACCCCGCTTGAACCATCGCTAAAGTGTGTTCAGCTGATCAAATCATGCATTAGTTCTCCACAACGCGGTATAATCAGGCAAAGTCATAGTCTCCCCTCTCTTCCATTTTCACCAGTGTCTGGTGGCACCGGCCGCTACACTGCGGCGCATGGCGCATCCTTCCGCACCTGCTTCGTGTATAATTTCGAGCGTTCACAGCCAGGTTTCGCCCCGAGAGATTTCCGGGCCAGTTTCCGTGCGGGTGCCGACGTCATCCGGGACAGGCCGCCAGCTTTTGGAACCAGCAGAGCCTGTGGGCGCTCCGGGAACCAGGAAGCCAGTTCGCCATCGCCAGCATGGTCCCATGGGCGAGGCTCGTAGTCGCCACCCCAGTGGGAGCCGGCCGAAGCATCCCGGCCACTTTGCAAGTTGTGCGCCTGCGACTTGGTATTCTTTCCTGCACGGCGGCTTTGATGGCCGGCTTTGGAATCCTTCCGTCCTCTGGAAACTTTATTCCCGTCAATGCCCCTGAGAGAATGGGAAATTCAGGACTTTTCCCACATAGCGCGATGTTCAAAACGCCATTGTAGGGGTTTATCAATTGATACAATTGAGGCAGTCACGCAGGTTCCTGGCACCCTGCTGACCGCCGAGAAGAGTGGCCCAGCACCAGTTTCACCATCACTGTCTGACAATGTGGAAGCCATTCGAGGATGCCCCAGGAATGCAACGGTGATTCACCGAGCAGCCCGTACAGCCATCATTGCATTGTGATAAATTGGGTGGAGATGTTGTCTCATCTGTTGGGGAGGGGGCGGCGCCCGGCTATTGAATGCAGCCTAACAATGCGGCATCAAAAAGAAAGAGCGGGCACCGTTGTGGCATTCAATTCAAGAAATGTTGCATACAAAAACAAGGAGATCGGCTCCCTATTTTGCCTGAGAAAAGCAGTGTCCATCATTTGCTCACTGATATTGCACCGAGGAAATCTAGAATGCATCCATTGACATTCGAGCGGCGCATGAACTACATGAACGTACAGCAGGGGCTGGGGCCACTGGGTGTGGACTGGACAATCGTTCACTTAAGTGAGTCAGTGGCTAGTGTGCTGCCAAACGGCTCCTCATGGTTTCAATGAACTTTGCCGGCACTGGATTGGATGCAAAACTTTGCAACATGCGATGGCCTCGTCGCTGCCATGGGAGCATTTCGCTGACATTTCGACAGCCACAACGAAAGCGCTGCAAAGCCCGCCGGAAATGGAGGACAACAGGTTGGCATGTGTTTCGTCTCCATCAAGTTCTTTGCTGTCACAGATCATCGAATAATGTAAACATGCCCGGTCTTTAGCCCGCCCTTACTGCTCGTCTTCCAGGCGGACCGGACCGGGCCGCGCGTTTTCGACGGCGAGGCACCCGTGGTGTTGCGGAAACTCCTGGATGCGCATGGTATGCCGAACAACCCAGGGGTGGTGGAGCAGCGACTCCGCAGACGGTCTATCCTCCGGGTCCTTCTCCAGCGCCTAAGGAAACAAATGTTCTGTTCGCGGAATCTCAACCATCATTGCAATGGCCAAACCGCCCTGTGGTGCAAAAAGGGTACGAGGCCGGAGTGCCAAGTACGGAGGTGCTCAACCGCATAAATGTTTCACTAGTTGATGCATCCAAATGCATCACTACCTTCGCATTGATGACATTACTTTTAAACTTGGTGGCACCAGCATCAATAGACTGAGGCGGACAGCATACATCCATTACGACTTCATTCAGTATAATTTGTGGCTAATGTTGCGCTTTGCGTCTTACTTGAACACGGCCCATATCCCTAGTGCACGGTCCCCAGAATCAGGTACAATTTAACGCGGTTTCAAAAAAATAAATAAACAATTTCTGGCAGCAAAAAGGCAGGCCATGTGGCGCCAGCTTGCGCCTGGAGGTGTGGGATAGAACGGGACGCAAGCCCCATTGCGCGGGTGCATAAGAACGGGTACATCTTGCACTGCGCAAACCACGAGAGGTTTGTCCGATACCGATAATATCTGGATGTGAAGGTCATGGGGATGATGACAGGTACGACGGCCCTAAAACTCAAAAGACTAGAACCCAAATCAGCAATGATATTGACGACCTCTATGCCCTGAAGCGAAGATTATTAGACATTTGTGGTGCAAGACAGACGGGGCAGGCTCAGACTGTCTCAGGATTACTTCGGATGATTCCGGGATGGTTCTGGCAACTCGGAATTCCCTGTGCGAGTGTACACAAAAGGTGCCATGAGCGTCGGTGTGGTGTGAAACCACTTGGGTCCAAAAATGCGGGCATGTCTCAAGACTCTGCGTTGCACCTTGCAGACGACCGTCTGCAACTTTCGAAGAAAGTGTTCCTTACCAGCGCATGCACTCGGCTGCGCAGGGCGCCAGTGTTGAACGCAGATCGTCGCAGGGACATGGATATGATAAATCAAAATAGACAAAGTGGATGAAAGTGGGAATGGAACAGGAGAATATGACAAATAACGAAAAGAGAATAGAATTGTTCCTGGATTCATTGAGCCAAAAAGACGGAAGAGCATGGAAAGACTACACTGGTGCTGTGATTACAATATTGTAATCCGTCTTTTCTGATTAATCCGGACGCCAGGCTTCCTTTTGAAGCGTACATTTGAAAGGGAAGGTTCTTCCCCACACATGAGAAGACAACTGGGGGCTGGGGAGGCGGAGCAATTATATGATTGCATTGTCGAACAGTGATAAAGACGGCCCGCAAAGGCAATTCCAGGGCCCATGGATGCACATCAAACACCCAGCGCACGACCCGCGCAATGCAAGCGTCCGACCTAAACTGGGGCGGGGCGGGATTGGGGATTTGTGGATCGCGCCCAAAGCGAATTCACCTGGCTGATGAAGCTCCTGCATGCGCTCGAAATTCCCTGGGGCCATGCCTCGATGAGCGACTTCGTTATTCTCTCGGAGGTGACTGCAACGCTTTCCACCTCGAACGGAGGCCGCCCCGCCAGCAGCTCGTACACAAGGACGCCCACGGCCCAGATGTCGACCTTCTCGTCGTAGTGCGCCCTTGAGGGTGTCGGTCCGTCATCCGGCACCGGTGCTGACACCACCTGGCACGTGATCCAGTTTTGCAAATTCACTTAATGTAGCGAATGCATGCCATTTCGCCGTTGGGGCGATGTCGCTTGCCGCACATAACCCCACATGTGCTTACCGCAACGCGCCGGGCAAAAACACCATTGAGAGCGTATAATTTCGTCCAACTTAACGATTTGCACCACCGGTGCACATTTTATAGCAATGGACACATGGCTAATGTGAATATAGTACTTCGTTCGCTGCAGACTACATTTCATGATTGAAGCGTCCTTACGTACTTTTAGAAATGGGGTCAAACGTTCAACAGGGGTCTGCTTCAAAAGATCAGATGCCAAACACGTTGGGCAGCCCTGAAACTGAAAAAATAGCTGCCCTTCCCATTCCCCTTCTGGCAAATTCGTGTGGCCCTGGTGGAAGAAGCCATGTTCCAAGAGATCTCTTTTCACAACCGTTTCTTCCCATCGCCGCCTCTCCAGGATGGCTGCGCCATACTCAGTCAGAGAGGTTTCTCTATACACAACCGTGCAGTCCTCGCTCGAAAAGGGGCCGCCCGACATGGCGATTTTCAAAGGAGGTAAGAACCATTGAAATCTCACCCTTTATTAACCAGAGTCCTCCTGGCTCACAGCACTGCCGGACGCAGGCAACGGGGATTTCGGATTTGATGCGCCAGGACTCGTAGTCACAATTGTCGGAGATTTTTGGTTGAGAGTCGGCTATTTTCGGATGTGAAGATAACGGCGCGAGGATAATTTCGACAGCTGATTTTTGAAGCAGGAAGCCGTAGCAGCAAATATAGAAGAGAAAACTCTGGCTACCAAACACCGCAGATAGTTAAAGAGCCGCACGTGCCCGCACACATATCCTTTTACTTATAACTTTGATGGTTCCATGCAGCAGCACTTGACGTCGTGTTGCCCCACACGGAATGGGGGCAATTGCTGACATGCTATGGCACCGTTGCTGGCCATTGCAGGGCTCAACATTCAGTCAAGCAGAGGCACAATGAATGCACAGGGGTTGATCAATGCAATTCAATGCCACCCTAAGGTAGTACCTTCAGGGTATACAAGGTTTGTATAATTTATTGTTTATTTATTTATTCATTGCGAAAACCGCACTCTTGGGGATTTCATCACGTGTGGGCATGCTTGGGGCAGAAGCTGGCCTATCAACTGGTAGCCTGTCTGTACCATGCTCCTCCTGGTGCGACAAGAGACATGGACATTCTCTCCAACTGAATACAAAGACAACAGCTATCCCAGCGCACCAAGGGATTCCTGTTCTGTTGTGTGACGTCCAAGGCCTGAGGTGTCTGGCGTCTGTGTTACAGAACGTGCGTCACATCTTGCAAACCGTCACATCTTCAACTTTCCGCATTGGAAGATCACTTTTTTTCTGACAACAGTTCAATATCAAGACCGTCAATAAGCAGAAATTAAAAACAGCTAGCCTTCAATATGATGCCCATTCCTCCCGGGATGTGTGCCAACATCATTGAGTATGATAGCCTCTTGCATATTCCAGATTGTGTTCATACTCAACAATGCAGAGCCCATCACATGCCTGTGTCTCGGGCAATGGTTTGCCCCAGGACCTGCTGATTCACATCATTTACTTTGTCCAACACAACCACTGCCCTTCACATCGTCTCCAAGGCCATAAATAAGCGTGCACGGAACCGAGGCATGCTTCCAGTGCCGCACCTCTGGCGCCATGTAGTCCAGTGTCCCCACTCTCATCTTCACTGGTTCTTTGTTCATGTCCACCGCCAGCCCAAAATCACCCAGCTTCAGACTCCCTTCGGATGTGAAGAAAATATTCTCTGGCTTGACATCTCTGTTTCAACGTCACAACCCCTCAATGGACAATCAGCAACAACCTCTTGCATCCCCACAATTTTCTGTTTGACGCACTAAAGATCCGGATGTGCCAGTCGTGAACAGACTCTGTGCTGCTTCTTGCGGAAGCCAAGAAAATGAATTCAGCACAGCTGCGTGCGCTGTGCCACTGCCTGCACATTGCACCTGGGCTCAGGGGTAATCAACAAACAACATCCAGTTGGATGAGGTGGTTGGAATGTCAAATGACAATGTGCTAAGTCTTGGCTGCAAACCACTTTGATTGCGGGAATCCTGAACACTTGTTGGATGCAGATGCCCCCATCAACTGTTTCAAGGAAGGGTATTATTTAATACTTTGCCACACGCGGGCAAACTGCAAATTGCCAAATAAATTGTGTGCATTGCCAAACAGCCACCCATTCGTCCAGCACAATGCCAATTCGGATTATGGCGCAGCGGCATCCAGGTAATGAAGGTTCCCCTTTACCGTGGCAAGGGAATGTCCGCATCGTGTGTCACACAATGGTGTGCACAGGATGCAAAATTATAGCCAACTTCAACTAGCTGGGAGATCGGTCCCTAGGCACTTGTTCGTAACGGAGTGCACATTGCACAGCTTGCTTCTTCTGTGCTGAAATGCGATGTTCATGTCTGTGCCTCCGATTCAGAATCTAAGTACGCAAATCCTCACATCCTATCAGGAGCAATGCAGCAAACCTAATTGCAAAAGCCCCCCGCAGCGATGGGCACCCACTAGTGTGTGCGATTCCGCAAATGAGGACACCTGTAAGGCATTCCAGAAGGAGTGTGCCAAATACGGCACCAGAAAACTGTAGTGCCAAGCTGATAGCTGTGATTTCCAATGAGAGCACCAGAAGGACATTTGAATCCAATTGCCATGGTGGGCAGGAAGCTGCACTCAAATAAGATGACATCAAACTGTAAACTGAACACATTTCAAGGAAACATGTGACAATGCTGGGAAATTCCATGTCCACATAAAATGGCTACCTTGGTCTGCGCATGATCACTGCTTATGCCCCAGTGCTGACGCCCCAAATTGCGAATCCGTAATCAATTCGTGTGAGTGGAGTGTCTTTCTGAAAATGTTGACTGGCTTGTGGTATACTTAACAGCACAATATAGACACTACATCAGCAATGTACCGCTTTACAGAGCCGGGCCGAAATTTGGCTCCTAACTCCTCCAGTGGCTTTCACAAACTTCGAACCAGTGAAAAAGGCCAGATCAACATTTTGGTGTCAACAGTATTCTCTGCATGAGCCCTGAGCCTGGCTGGGTTTGCTGCATTACTGGAAGCACACGTCACCTGTGCACGATGCCCTTGGAGTGTAGGTAGTTGAGCACCATCAGGAGAGGTGAGATGACCTGTTTGAGCATGCCAACCACAATATCAGCCTCTGTGCCTCCACAACTACATGCCCCCCAAGTTACATTTTCTGCAACAACATCAACATGAACATTGCGAACACCACGAATTCCAAGCTCTTTTTTCATGGTCAAGGGCAGGAGGCAGGGTGGCTCTGAGCTCAGTGCTCGGTGGGCGCTTTGGCAGTTAAAGAGTGCATATCTGCCAAGAGGGTCAGACAAAACCTATGTACCTTGCAGCCGATGGCAGGGGCATTGGATGGATACATCTTCCTCACACCACGTGCCGCAATTGCAGCACCCTAGGAGCAGCGGCAGCTGCAAGTCAAACCAGAAGCCCATTTCAATACTGCACCCGTCTGCATATGGGGCCTTCATCCAGTCGCCTGCCTTGACGGATGAATTCCTGGAACAGGTCACCCCTCACACAGTACTCCGCAACCAGGTGAATTCGATCGTCGTCCTCAAACTCCCCAAGATGGCGCACAACACCTGTGAAGCTAAAGAAGGCACTGCATCAGCCCGCTAGGTCAAAACGCATGCATGCATCGTTGACAAAGGCAATTCTGGCCTCACTGAGGATGGTATGCCAGTCTGTTGATGTCTGGGGATCTACTAGCCTCCATGTTGTTTGACTGCTAAGATCATTGCCAAGGCATCTTGACAACTTGCACATGGGGAACACGCCCTGAGTAGGTGATGCTCAGAAACTGGTGCCAACAGTCATTTTAAGGCACATTCACACCAGAGTGGTATTTCACAAGCACATGTCACAGTGGACGAAGACAGAATAGCATGGTTGTGCCAAGCAGGGCAATGAAACTGCATACTTCAGGTGTCATCAGCAGGGTATGCATGTTGACAATTCAGCCAGCAGCCCCTGTACTGCACCTATGATGCATGCGCTTGCTTTTCACTGCGCATCGCCTTCCAAGTGCAACAACAATGTGTTGGCATGCTGTGGCAGCAACAGAGTCCAAGGATATTCACATGGGGAACCACAGTCAAGCAGGCAGTACCCTTCGCACGTCATCATTCTCAGTATCTCAATTTCTCGCTGAACGTTTTTGTAGTGCCGTTGGCGCATTTTCTCCTTTACATAAGATTTCAAAACCACTTGGTTGCCAGTGGCATTGCATGTGGTCACAGCCACTTCGCTTTGCCTGTGGTGCAGTTTCACCTGTCAGACTTGAAACCACCTCGCAGCATGTCTGCCCACCAGACCACCACAGTGTAGCATGACCAGGCCATTGTTAAATTGGGGTGGAACTATGACGCTTAAATATGACAAAAAACAGCTCTAGATGGCAAAAAACAGGCCACTGTCAGCAAGACTTGTTCAGTTGCTGAAAACAAGAGTTGTCTTTGAGAATGCACAGTCATGGAGCATCGAACAGGAGCCATGACTGAAAACAGTCTATGAGCAGCGCCAACAATGTAATGAAGCAAGTTGTCAAAATGGCATGTGCTCTTGGTAAATGGCCACGTCCATTTGCTCCCAAAATGTCAAATTGACAAGCTTGAATATCACATTATTGCTGCAGGTGCTGGTGCAGGAATGTGGGCAAAGCTATCTGCAGGTGTTTTTCTGTGTCATGCATCCTATAAGACAATTCTACCTGCACCTTTGCACCCAACACATAATGTGTTGATGTGCCAGTCACATGCTGCAAGCCACCAGATCAAAACAACAATGGAACATTGAAAATAATAGCCCCTAAGATTTGCATTGGCATTATGGAGGTTTCAAACTATACTCCAAACTACTAAGCTCAGGTTGCCAGGAACTGCCAGGTCTGCACCATTATGGTTGCCTTGGTCACTGGCTGCCAGGTCACTGTTTCTGCAGGTATCCACACCAATATCCACAACGATACCCCTCTTCGGCTTTAATTATCGGCTTTTAACGATTCGCCGTTGCAGATGTCTGGCTGGTGCCGGCCAAGGGACAATGGCAGAGGGCAAGGCCATCCTCAACATGTGCGCCGCAGGCATGGATTTCCGTTTGCGCTCGCCCTCCCCCAAGCCCCAACTTCTTCCTTTTATTTCAATCGACTCAGCAATACTACATGTCAAGTCAAGGAGGCAGCATTCACCCCGGTTTTCTCCGCCACAGGCAAGGAGCCCCAATTAACCGTTCAACGACAACCCAAATCAGCTCTGCAACAGCGCCCCGACTCCAGCGAACTTCTCAACCCAATCCCAGTCCAGTCGCGCACCACGACGGCCAACTCCGGCCCCCAAGGGACGCCACACGGCCCCGCCCACCTGCCCTTGTAGATCACGGCGGGATCCCGAAAGTCGTCCACGGACGCGTACTCCACGCCGGGCTCCTCCGGGGCCCCGCACTCCACGCGGGGCAGCCACATGGGCTCCGCTCTCCTCGCCAGGGTGAAGCTCTTCGACAGGGCGTCCGCCTCGCCCCACCGGCGGCCCTCCAATCTTGCACAGCCGAACAGCGCCGTGAGATGACGTCTGCCCATCGGCGCCAACGCCGTGGCCGATCGGGCGAACGGGGCTGGCCGGAATCGGTGAGCAAAGAAGGAAAGGAGATCGTGCCGATGGTCGCCGGAGGCAGAGGTCCTCACCCGTCGCCTTCGGGTGATAACGCCCCGCTCGGCGCCGCGCCGTCGAGGGAGACGCCATGCAGCCCCTCGGCCAAGAGGGAGTCATCCTCCGGGGAGCCGGGGGGGGATGCCATGGCCGTGGTCACGACTGGGGCACCGCGGGGGAGCGAGGGGGAGGGGAGGGACCGGCGCCGCGCGCCATGAGGGGCGGGGAGGCCGTGGGCCCAAGGGAGGGGCAGCGCGGGCGGTTGGGCAAAGACATCGGAGACGTCCGCCAGTCCCCGGAGAGCACAAGCGCAAGGGGAGAATCATATCGTGGGCTGACTGCGGGATTTTGTGAGGCCCTGATGCGGGGGATAGGGCACTTGGTGAGTGCGGCACACTGCAAAACCGCTTGTTGCTTCCCCCTCGCCAACTGGCGAGGACACCTCTTTTGAGGTACAGTAGGGGTCCTATATAGCGCCCCACCGTGGCGTGGCCAAAAAGGGGGCGCTATATAGGGACCCCTACTGTGTTGTCATCGACAATCTCATCTTGGCATTAGGAGTTGATAGATTCTTAGATTTTGTTTGCGCTGAACATTAGATTTCAATGAACTGATCGTAGACACTAGTGTCTTATTGTGTAGGAAGCTCAATCCCTTATTCTGTAAAAATGGATGATGAGCACGGCACACCGACATGACATCGA